ACTTAATCTTCTCTATATCTAAGAAATCAATCTTCATAGGCTCCTTAACTGACACCAGGCCTATCTTCTTAATTGAGCACACTCGCAAGATCCTCACTAAAATCATTACAAATAGACTCAACCAAACACTTATCAAATACTTAATATTTTCACTCTCTAACCACGTTGCATTACCGCTCACCTCTACAATGTATCTTATTAATACATTAACTCATATACTTGAAGATACACATATTAATGATAAAGAATTTTGGATCCTTTCCCAAGACATGTCAAAGGTCTACGATTCAGTACACATTCCATTACTCACCAAAGCATTACTTAGGATAAAAACCTCAGAGCCTATTACAGATCTGATCACTAATATCTTTATAGCAAGAACCAATAAAGTTATTACTATATATAGTATCTCCAAATCCTACCCAGTACACGACAAGATAGATCAGGATGAAACAATAATGCCATTATTATGGCGTATATACTATGATCCCTGATACACACAATTACTACCCAACATCAGGGATACACTCTTACTACCAACATCAAAGATGAATCTAATACACACAACTCCTATACCTCCTGCCTAGCATATATGGACGATACTACATGGATTGCTCAATCCAAGCAATCTTTAGAACTTATAATCCATATAGCAACATTTTTCTACAACATGGTCAACATAAAAGTAAACCCAAATAAATCAACCCTAGCTACAAATAACAAAATGAATAATGCACAAATCACTTTTAACCAACAAATAATACAAAACATTCCTCCTGACCAAGCTTTTAGATTCCTAGAATGCTGGTTCTTCAGAACCTTTTCTCACAAACCCACTCATACCATCATTACTGACGAAATTATAGCAGCTATATGAAAGCTACGACTTGCAAAAATAACAGACAAACAAGCAATATACATCATCAACTCAGTAATTCTCATCTGATTTGCTTACTAGATCCAAAACACCTTCCTTTCAAGCCTACAGCTAAACAAAATTACCAAATTCTATATCAACCTCACCAAACACAAAGCAGGGTTCGCTAGTACTATTCCAAGCTTGATACTATTTCATAACTGAATCTATAGCCTAAAAACAACGTAAAACATACAGCAACTACAACATATCAGCAATTTCTTTAAAATTCTTAATTATCTATCTTTTGGCACATCCGCATTAAAAATACAGCTACAACAATTACAAAATTCTGCCACTACAAACCTCTTGATCCTTACTCATCAATCTATTTTCCATCACCAGAAAGCAAAACAACTATCACACAAATAATACTGGAACTTCACAAAGTCCAACTTACTTTACACAACGATAGTAATACCTGGCCAATACCAATGAATCAAATAGGAACCTCTATTAACAGCATACTATACTCAAACTTGAAAGCCTTAATTATAAAAGGAAAACTAAATACGCATCATATTTACTTTATCGAACAATTAATTAATTCCTCTCATACACAGCTTTTAACTTGGCAGGAATCACATCACAATACACAAAGAATACCCAAAGGCAGACAACCAAATTGGTACAACACTCTTCTAAATGACATTACTGCAGCAAAAAATATTCATAAACAGCTTGTCTAATCCAACCCCTTCACTATACTACCTATAAATAATCAACACATTGTATAGGTCTACAACTTATGACTTCAAGTTTTTAGAAAATTCTCAAAAAAGAAAACTCAAACTATCATCTTCCAACACTGGAAACAATTACCAAACAACCCTAAACAATTAACCAAGTGCATGAGATGCAGACTTAGCTCCTCAAATTAACAATGCTGCTATCTTAAAGATTTTGTGCAAAACCTAATACATATACAAGTAGATAAAAAGAAATATATACATGCAAATATCAAGGATCTAAATACAACTTTTATACAACTATACCCTAATACTACAAAACAACTACAAAAACACATCTTTATCATGTATAAAGACCAGATTTTAAAAAACTTAATAGAAGCTATACCCAATCTACAACAAAAATTATGGAAAATATACAGATTTCTTTATGGAAAAAAAGTATTGAATGCAAATATAAATATATAACCTAATGGCATGAACTCAACATACAACCCCACAGCCTACTGGACAATAGCTGACACATCTCTTAATCTACAAATCTCAAATCTAATCTGGCTGTCTAAGAAAAAAAGCTCTCTGACAGCACTACTAACTCTAATCACCACAGCACTGTACGCATGTATACTAAACATTTCTACTGATGAAAAATAACTAGCTTATGACTTTACAAACATTGTTCAAACCCCCACATATCTTGTTAACCAATTGCTATCTACAACTTTAGGAATTTACAAAGCAACTATAAAAGCAGCAATTACAAGAAAAGACCTAACAGTACAAATAACAACTACAAACACTACAATTAAACCAAACATCATAAACACAACTATTGCTACTGAAATCAACACAGAGATGATACTGCACAACATCTACACTCCCAAACTAAACTACTACATGTTTTTCTACAACCTGAGAAGATTACTAAGGCATCTGCAAAATGCAAAAAACATAGCAGACTGACACAATCTAAATAGAATACACTGATAGAATTTAGATCCAAAAGAGATCAACTGGGAACTCACCTTCAACTTTATAAACTATCACAACAGCTCTCTAAGCCGATATACACATTCTACTCAAACCAAAATCAAAACCTTCAACCTAAAATTAATAATGGACGAACTCCCAACACTTCTTAATTTACATATTCGACATCCAGCAAAGTACAACAATCCCATATGTCACAGATGTATACAATCAAATAAAGATAATCAACATTGGCTTATATGTACAACCAACACACACTCCATTGAAGAAATAGTCACACAAACCCTCAACCGAACAATACAAAAATATCAAATAGAAATAAATACTATTAACTTTAGACAAAACTTTCTACAAAAGTTTATATACAAGCTGTAACCAGCACCTCTCGGCATTATTACCAATGATATCATTATCAACAAAAACCCTCAAACAGATACCAAGCTAGCAAAAAACCCTAACTGCTATTTTCTTCACCACATGGTTAAGAAAATCCAAAAGAAGACCTGGAAAGCAAAATGTATGAAATTCGCAAACCAATCAACCCAAAGCCTTCAGTCACCAATTTCAATCATAAACAAACATCAATCCAAATATCCAACTTATCATAAAATATATAAATATAACTACTGGCTCAATGATTTCATAACAACAAACACCTCTCCACTCAATATCCCATACATAGACTAATGAGGTCATTGACCTATCTTAGCAAAAGCTTAGGTCAAAAGTAAAGTAGCTTTAGCCTTTAATTCTATATAGATTAGAAAACATAAAGTATTGTAATAACATTTGTAATATCATATGAATTCTAATAAAGGAACAGAGACATGGCCTCGCTTTTTAAAAAAAAAAAAAAAAAAAAAAATCATAAGAAAATACAACTTTAAAAAAACTATACTACAAAATTTTATTAATACAATTACTTTTGTATCTTAAATAGAAAATAACTCTAATCTTATTCTAAATTGATTTATATAAAAAATATTCTTTAAAAAATTGTCAATTTTGTTCTTTATCTTAGCACCTAGCCTATTTTTGTAAGCAAAAAAGCTATATTTTGTATTTACAACTAAAATAAGTAACCAAATATAAAATAATGCTATTTTAGATAAAATTGGTAATACATTTTTTTTCTATCCAATAATTATTTAAATTAAAACTTTATTAAAAATTTCTTGAAGACCACAATATACTCCCATTTATTAAATTATTTGTAGATAATACAAATTCATAAATTTTTTTGTAGTTATCTAAGTTATGCCTATTAATTTGTGATTGTATATATTTCGGATCAAAGCATCTAATCGTTCTAAAAAGAGAAAGCATATTATGTCTACATAGATGATCTACGAGTTGATAGGTATAACCCACGGGTTGATTTATGGGTTTAACTCGCGGGTTGATCTGCAGGTTTAACCTGCAGACTGACCCATTAACCTTTGTGTGATTCCCGACCCACCCACGGGCAGGGTTGTGAGTTTACATAGACTATGGAAAAAAGTCATTAGACAAATATATGTTTATATGTCCAATGGTTGTCGTCTATTCACAACCCGGCCCATCGGGTAACCCGGGTGATGACCAATCTAAAATAGATTATCACTAACTTCTCTAAAATAAAAAAGAAATTTGATTATTTTCTAATAAAACTTTCTATATCAATATATAGTACTTTTTATTTATTCTTTGCATTTTTAAAAAAGTACTTTAAACTACGTATATAAAAATGGAAATTAGTTACATATATCATATGAAAGTCTTTCTATGAGTTTCATATATTTCAACTTACGCCACAATTTTACAAAAAAAACTTTATAAAAATTATGTAGCATTTAAAAATATCTCTTCTATAAAAAGTTGATGCATTTTAAAATTATATTTACTATTTTATTATCTAGTATAAACTTCTAATACCATAGTTAATAAAGGTTAATAAAAGTTTCTTTTTAATATAATTATTTTTAAAGTTCAAAAAGGTAAAATGGTGTTTTTGTAAAAACCTATGCTGATACGTACATTTTTTTTTACTCTCAGCCGAGTTTGTTTTAATATACATAATAATAAGGATTTGAAGAGTTTTTAGGGCAATGTTTTCGAAAGTTTATATTAAATGTTATGCGTATACTGTCAAAACTAATTTTAATATTTATCAAAAAGCGATGCAATAAAAGTAGTAATAAATAACAACACCTTTATTACCATTGTTATTACCGTAAAGTGTGGTTTTTTTTTTTTTTTTTTACATACGAAAAATTTTTTGTAAAATTAAAAAAAAAATTTTATATTATTTTCCCTAATATATACAGAAAAGGAATTGAAACTTGTTTAAACTTTTAAAACTACAATATAACCGTTTCTAAAGATAATAAATAGGAAACAAAGTTTCACATTTATTATGTAGCAGTTTAAACAAATTGCCTTTTTAATGCTTCGTCAGTGATATGACTATGTTTTTCATCAATTTTTATATAACGTTCTTCAATATTTCTTGCTTGTATCAGTATGATTGTGGCAAAGAAAGCAAATATATCCACAGTTATGAAACCAAATAATGAAGTGAATAATTGGCGAGCAAGTCTGTCAGCTTTTGAAGTTATTGGACCTATGCAGCCTTGTATTTGTTGGTCAGGGTTTAGAGTGCATGTTGATGAAAGAACAGCGTTATCAGTTGAATTTTGATATCCACAGCACTGAAGCTATAAATAAAAATAAAAAAAATAAATTAATTAAGCAATTAATGAAAATAAACAATAAATCAAACAACCATAATGTAAGCATACTTGGTCTTCGAATGTAGCTCTCATGGCGTCATTCCATTTGAGCCATTCCAGGCCATATTGTTGTCTTTCATCTAAAGTCCTAAACCAAATGTCACCACCCAAAGCCAAAAGAGCCAGAGAAGTTAAAATAATCAAGACTACATGAACAACCAACCAACTCTTATATCTCAAAGGATTAATGAAACCAACAACAGCGACAAGAAATGACACGATAGTTAAAGCACCAACAGAAATGCCACCTACAAATAGTTGAGTAAAAGTAAAATATTGAGTTAAAATAAATAAATATTTAGATATAAATTTATAATAAAATTAATACAAACCTATTATCAGACCATTTGTCAACACAATACTGCGTATGCTTTGCTCAAGTGATAGAAGCCATACAATACCAAGCGAGATCATTATAACACCAGTAGCAAGATATATTAATTCTATGAAGGCAAAAGAACCAAGAATTGGTTTACTAATTGCTCTATAGGATAATTGTTTTGTCGGCATAGTTTACTTTGAAACTTTAAAGGAAAAAGATTTAAGAGAGAATTTAGAAAGTCTAACTATAAACTTGCTGACCAGCAACAAGTACCAAAGGTGAAGAGGGAGAAAGACCTTGAAAATAGATTAAATGAAAAATACTGGTTATTTAAGGATAACAACAATAGTTTGACAAATTGTAACACATAGGCCCTTCGAGTAGCAAAAAAAGTATTAACCTGCAGGAGAAAAAAAAAAACACACAAATAACCTTACCAAAGCTTAAATACGAAAAAAAAGGAACAACAGCGTATAAGTTGGATAGTGCGCTGATGAGCCAAAAAGCTTTGATACGAAGTCCAGAAGAGCTTAAGAGTTTTAAGGACTGAAATCAATAAAGAACAAACATGACAATTAT